TCAGCCCGACTCTTCAACCCCTCCAGGGATCCCGGGGACTCCCCCCTGCCCTGGGCAGCCCATTCCAACGCCCAACAGCCCCTTCTGCACAGAAATCCTTCCTCAGAGCCAGCCTGACCCTGCCCTGGGCAGCTTGAGGCCATTCCCTCGGGGCCTGGCGCTGGCTCCTTGGCTCCAGAGACTCATCCCCCCTCTCTGCCCCCTCCTGGCAGGGAGTTGCCGAGGGCCAGGAGGTCTCCCCTCAGCCTCCTCTTCTCCAGACTGAACCCCCCCAGTTCCCCCAGCCGCTCCCCAGCAGACCTGTGCTCCAGACCCCGCCCCAGCTCCGTTGCCCTTCTCTGGCCACGCTCGAGTCATTCAATGGCCTTTTTGAAATGAAGAAATTTTCTATTATTACCATTCTCATTATTAATTGAAATAAAATCAAATTAAAATATTAAACTGTTTTTATCTCAACCTATGAGTCTCCTTACCCTTACCCCTCTAATTCTCCCCCCCACTCCCCAGAGGAGCGGCTGCGTGGTGTTTGGCTGTTGCTCAGGTTTAACACAACAAAGTGCTGTCTCAGTTTACGGATGAGGAAAATCCACAATGTTCATGCTAAACCTGCTATACACATATTAAGAATACCCAGAAATTCCAAACTCTTTTCTAATACACAGTTTAGAGCTTTCTGAAACAGAGTTTTGGAAACGTGAAGTTTCCATGTACATACAGGCTACAGCAAGGACACCATTTGGCAGAGGGCTGATCTTTGCAGTAGTTGTGTGTAGCCTTCCTAGCACGGGGCAGAGGCAGACTTCGCTCCTCCGTAGCACTTTGCAGTCACACTGAAGTAGCTACAAGGCTGCTGTACTGAAGTTGACTTGCATCAGCCAACTCGGAGCATAGGTAGAAAGATGTGCAACCTTCAAGACCCATCTCTGCAGCCTCATCCTGAAGAAAAAAGGGTGCAAATCTGGAGCCAGAATAGAACCGTAATTCTGGAGAGTAAATGAAATGAGGGAAGACTGGTACTGGTATTGTGTGAGAATGGGTAATGAACTTGAAATAGAAACCGACTGACATTAGAAATTACCTGGATGAGGGAGAATGGAAACAGAGATGCAGAATGTGAGACATACAAGGAACTAGGACACAAGTAAGAATGCCTGAATGTGAAACTGAGAACCAAGAAGAATGAAATCATGAATTGAAAAGACGACGTCTAGGCCAACAATCTTTTCAATTCCTCTTCAAGAAGGATGACTGCTCTCGCTATTCTGGCTTGAAAGAATCTTCACGGAGTGAGTACCCCAGTTCTACAAGTACTGTAAAAAGCAAACAAACCTCAGCATCCCATCACCAGAGATGGCAAGGAAAGCTCCTAGAACTGAAAAATGTTCCTGCAAAATAACCTGCGCTTCAGAGACTGGGTTTTGCCAGAAAGTCTTAAGAGAAAACCTGTTGCTAAAAGGTTCACTAAAGCATAAAGGCCAATTCTTATATTTTCTCTGCGGAGCAAGGTCTGAAGATGATATAGTGCAGAAGATCCAGAACAACACACCGAACAATTAAAAATACTAGATAGCTGTGTACTGATTAAATGCCATCTATTTAATGCAAGGATTTCCTTCTATACAGAAAAACAGTATGTTATCATATAATTAAAGACGGCATGATTATGTACAAGGTACAAGTGGGTGAACCAAGGTCACTAAGGTTTTGAAGTATTAGACTGCCAGCACAGTAATGCGTATTAAATACAAAAAGCCCTTGCATTTAAAAATAGATCAAATGGAATAGAAACAAGTGTCTGCACATGCCTATGTGCACTGTAGTACCAGTAGACAAAAAGAGTGCAAAATAAAAGCTAAGATGTCAAGAATAAGAGCTAAATGGGTGGGTTTTTTTTACATTTCGTACAAGCATTCTGAGGTTTATCCACATGCACGTATTACAACTTTAAGGAACTAACTAGTAAAACATTAACCTTACGGAAAGAAATACTTTCCCTGTCCCAGTTTTTCCACACGCAGAAAAATGTTTTTTTTTTCTTAACCAAATGCACGCTTTGATAATTATTACCCCAAAACATTTGGTCTTCCTCTACCAAATGTTGTAGGTCCTCATTTCAGAACAAATAAAAACATATGCAGAGGTTTCTCCTTAAAGGAAACAGTAACAACAAAACAAACCCAGAAATTTAACCTCAACATGGCAGAGGTATAAATAACCTCTCTCAGCTCAGTAGTGTTTATCTTTTAAATGAAAAAGTCTTAAAAAAAAAAAAAAAAAAAAAAAAAAAGAAGAAGAAAGAAAGGAAGAGAAAACAGCTTTCATTTCTTTCTTAATTTGAGCTTTGCTCTAACAACCAGCTACTGTTTGTTTCCTTATTTTAGGTCATGTAAGTCAGTTATGCATGCCTCACTTTTTAACTCTTTGCCACCTGCTATTCTTTTACATCTGGGAACTGAGAAAACCTAGAACGACACAAACCCCAGTGGAACCAGGGCTGCGTTGGCTCAGGTTCATCTGCCAGTGTCCACTGCACATGGCAACATACAGGAGTGACATCACATCTTAGTACCCCGCCGATAAACCTGGGCTGGAAAAAACCTCAGAAAAGTAAAAAAAAGGGGGTCATAGGAAAGCTCTGATGTATGTAAGAAGATACCGAAGGGCTAGCAAACCAGAAATTCATTACAAATGCTACATAAATGAGGTACTTCATATTTGTAACACAGAAGTAAGACAGAATTGTGACCCTGCGTGTCCCAGCCTTGACGCTCCATCAGGCTGGGTCTGGGCTAACTATGCAGTTCCAAGAATTTCCTATTCATACTGCTTGGAAAATCAGTTATGAAGATCTGCAGAACGAGGCCTTTCCCAGCAGATCAAGGCTGCCCAGACATGCCTAAAGGAAGAAAATGAGTTACGAACACTGAGCAGACTCTGTCCTAAGTAGATCAGCGCTCGCTGTGTTGCGTCGCATGGTGTTGCACTGCAGGTGAAAAAGAGTATCAATAGGGCCACAGCATCCTAACAAACACAGTGAGTTTTATCCTTCAGATAAAACAGCTGATGAGAGCTATTCAAAGTTCAGATTTGAGAACTAAGTAGCTTATTCACGAACTTATCCATCCCTCTTATTCAACAGCATTTTACATGCTTCATTTTGAAAAGTTCCAGATGAAGTTGCTGTATTCAGAAGTTCAAAAAGAAGCTGTACCCTCATTTTGGACCTGTCTACTAAAACAAAGAAAAGCAAATATGTAAATTTCTAGTGAATTAAAGTGCCCCATTAGGAGTTCAATTATATTCCGAAATTATGTCTTAATTGGTTTGCTCGTAGATGAGCTGTACAGCTAACCAAAAATCTACTGCCATATAATCATCACTAAATTTCAGATATTGCCACACATTAAATTAACAGCAGATAATGAGTGGGAAAATTAGCTCTATTTCCATAACAGAAAAAAAAATCTTCCCATATTACCTAGAGTGTTCTATAGAGTTAGTTTCAAAATAGAAAAAACAGTACATAGACAGAACTCTCCTGAATACCTAACATTTATTTTGGTCAAAAGTCCACACATTCAAAATAAATAGTACAAGCAGAGTGCACATCAGATTTGTGTCTCTAAATATTTAATTAAAACCAAGTCAAATTTCTAAACTTCTATAGAAATCTTCAAGAGACTGACTCCTATTTTGTTTTGTGCATTGCTGGCTATTTCTTCACCCCAAAACTTGTCTTTTTGGGTAGTAATCCCCATGCCCAACTACTTTTCAGATTTTAACATATAATGTATTCCTGGTTTTCATCAGTATCATGCACAAATATTGCAAATGATCTGCGGTTTGGAAAACTTGTGAGAAAGAAAGAATAAGGAATAACAGTAAATGCAGAAGAAAACAAGCTAAGGACTAATATTCTTGCAATTAAAAGGAGGAAAACAAACAGTTCATTCCCTAAAGCTTATTTGTTCCATTAGCAGGATAAATAAACTTATCCAGAAAAGTTAAAATTTTTAGAAGTGCAGTCAGGCTCCTCAGCTTGAGCTGCTGTTCAATTTTGGTGACTTCTGAGGTCAAAAACTATCAAACTTGTGACTTAGATACAAATGCATAATACAGATTATTTAATTTACCTTTGCTGTGTGAAGGAAACAGATTTCAAAGATCTTGTCTGTAAATGATATATTCTTCAATATTTATGCCTCCAATGACCACCATCGTAAATAACGATCTGAAGAAGAATACCACAAAGCCAGGTTAGTTGCAACTAGATGGAGGATTTTTTTAAAAAATATTTATTTATTTATTAAGGCGGAACAAAGTAAAATTCTGCATTTCACGTAATACATGAATTGTTAAAAACAAATAGAGAAGCACCAGATCCATTACGTAGGAAGGTGTTTACCTACTTGAGGCATATAACAATTACTCTGCATTAGTATATTTAAGACTAAATAGGCAAACTTGGGAACCAGAATAACAACAGCAGTAATCATCCCATGAGTTAAAGAGTAGAAAAAAACCAAGTAAAATTACAAATCAGCATTTAAGTGTGTTATAAGCACTAATATATCACGAAAAGTTAAACCACCTCCCTAAACTTTGAAAAGGCAAACTAAAAGTAACTTTAAGACAATCCCCCTAAAAATACAGTTATGGTTTTAACAAAAAAACCACCCCATTACTCAAAGGTATAACCATATAGCACCATTTATTAGCGCCGTTTTCATATTTCAGTACTGTAATTATGGAAAGATGAATTAAAAAAAAGATTATCATGCTTATGGTAAAGTCACCATCAAATGAACTAGGCCATGCATGTACTTCCTTTGCAATCAACTTATGCTAAAATGCCCAGTAGGTACTTCCCCCCCCCC